ACAAAAAAAAAAAAAAAAAAATTTAAACCAGAAACTTTAGACAAGGGTGCTACTTTTTTTGTAAAAAGTTACAGCTTACTGAACAAAATCACACTAGAGGCTGAATGAGGCTACTCAGTATTTTTTATTCAATTCTATTAACAAAATTTTGAGAAAGATATAATAGCTTTCAGAAGAAATTCGTACTAGTTTCTGAATCAGGATATCTATAAGAACACACACACACACATATACGTGCAGGCCAGAACAGGGGGGCAGTTGGCATGGGCCTACGATTTTGAGGGGGCCGACTTCCGAATACAGAATAAACACAAATGTACTATTGTATTTACTGCTTCTTATTACAGTACTGTACTCAACTGTCTTACATACATTTTGAATAAAATTGCTCGCCATTACCTTTTTTATAAATCATTCTAGTTCTTTTATTTGTTTCTGTTACTTGTAAATACATCACGTACACTACATGTACATGTATATACCCATACATGAATCATATGTATTTAGCACTGATTACAAAAATACTGAATGAGCAGTTTGAGAAGGGGGCCTACATTTCCCATCTGGCCTGGGCCCATAACCAGCTTTGTCTGTATATGTGCAGTTTCTTTTAAAATTCTCCTGTACTGTAATTTATACAAAGCATTTAGATACAAACAGTTTCTCAATTCATAATTCCAGAGAATCAATAAGCAAAGTCCTGCTATCTCTACTACACCTCACAAAATTAGACCTGATATTTAAGGAGGGATAACCTGCAACAATTCAATTTAAAGTAAAGACACTTTACCCTGTGGGTAGAGGCTGGGGTCTTTCCCACGTTGTGCTTCGTGTATTATGATCCACATAATATTTGCGTCCATACTGATCAAACCTTACTTCCCAGCTGAAAACAAACAAGTTAACAAATTTAAAACTTGTAAAAATATAAATTTATACTATGATGTGAAGGTGAATGTTTTTTTTGTTTTTTTATAAGTTTATGCTCTGATAAAAAAAAATCACAAATTTATAGTAAAATTTTTTTACACATTCAAATATATAGATTGACAATAATTTATAAAAAAAATACATTTTCCACATATAAGGGGTATAAAATTTGTTAAGAATATTAAGTACAAACCATGCTAAAAAATTACTAATTCTTAATGAACTGATTACTTAAAAAAAAGATTACAACAAATACGTTTGTGATCACAAAATATAAGGTTAAAAATATATAAAGGATATATCATTACTGAACAATTTAATTCTTTTTTTAAACAATGAAACATTAATTAATTATGTTGAAAGACACAGAGTTCTGATACTGTCTACATTAAATTTATTACTGAATTAAATGACAAGTTTACCCTGATGGCAAAGGTTCTCCTTCAACTCCTGCTGCTGCTGCCTGACCGCAGTTACCATGCTGGCCAGTCGGACCGTCGGGTTGAGAGTTTGGAGCAGTGGGGGAAGAGCTTTCACTTCTTGACGTACTTAAAGTTGTCACAGCTGTGGTACTGGGTGGTACAGTAACAATATTAGAATATAAAGGGGAACTACTGACAGAAGGGAGAGACCTTAAAGGATTATATACGGTCCCTGAGTGTAGTCCACTGTAAGGTGTCTGTAGAAACCCAGTGTTACTAATAGTGACACCAGTAGGAACTTGAGGACCAGGAACAGCCATAGCTTCTACATCTGTGTGAGAAGGACACATTCATAACAAATACATGGAAAAAATGTTTACAGATAGTTTTTGAGTCACCATGAGATTAGCCATATTCTAACTTTTGACAATGTAAGTGTATATTCATGAAATTTCGCAGACTATCAATAGACATTACAAGTGTTTTGTACACAAAAAATCAGATTTTGTAATTAGGTAATATTAATAAAAATTTCTCTGTGAGCATATGGATTGAAAATTGTCAAATTTCATTTATGTAATCTCTAGAATCTCCTAAATAATTATTAGACGTTTTTTTTTCTTTCAGAAAACCTTAATACTTTATTTGTCATTTTCTCTATCCTAACTCTATATGGAATCAGTCAATTTGACCAACCTCATAACCACCATAAAAAATTAGGAAATAAACCTCATTTACCTGTTTATCCTAAATAGCTTAAAGCTCATAACAGTATACATTTATTTATACTTAATTTTATTGACACGTGAACAACATCTAACTAATAATCCCACCACACAAGTTACAAATCACTTGGCAAACATGTAGCTCATGTTACTGTGTCAAATTACAAGTACTGACCCCTGGGGCACACCACTAGTAACAAAAGTCCAGTTTGACTGAACTCCATCAATAACATGCAAGATATTTTTCTTACCTGCACTACTGGACTGGCCTGAGAGATTAAAATTCGTTAAAGAGGCAGGTAAGGACTGTAGTCTCGGATCTCTCGACTGTCTATTCAGGTTGTCTGACGTACTAGAAGTACCGTCTGAACTTGTATTGGAAGAATTGGTTCTTGCTGCCGTATAGACTGGATTAAAAACTACCGGTTTCCAGGGACGGATGCGAGGCCCAGAATGTTGCCGACTTAAATGACTGTTTCCTCCACTGGTGGATGGGCTGGATGACTGAGCTCCACTCTGAGGAAGGCTTCCATTAAGTTGTAACGTTACAGATGGTTGAGCATCTATAACACAATGTAATAAATGATAACTACAAAGTCATGATGGATTCGTATTCTGTATACAAACAAGAACTACACTTCTGTATTATTAGTAAACTTCAAACAACATACTTATTTACCTTCAAAATTCTATGACGAACTTTCATAATTGCTTTTCCCAGAAAATTTATACATTTTTGTTATGGTGTAATATTTCAAAATGTGACAGCTTAAGTCATCAAAAAATAGAATTAATCCTAATTCATTGCCATTAAACAAGTTAGGAGAACAAAGATTTATGCAAAACAACCATAACACAAATACTTACTTGCATTAGAACTATCTGAAAAGTTCCTTGGAGGATACCGAATCATCTCTATTTGTACTCCGTCTAGAATTGTAACTACAAAACTTGAACTTCGTCCAACCTTTCCAGCAACATTAAGCTCCATGGGCATTGGTAACTTGTCCACTAGTTTAAAAACAGTTTTAAGTATTTTAAATAAGTTTAATTTCAAGAACTGAAAGTATACAAATAATACAGAAAAATCTGAAGCTTAGAGAACGTGTAATGTGAACGTCAAAGTAAGAATAAAAAACAAACTATAAATGGCAAATCCCTTTAGCAAGCTGGAATCTGCCTTTAATGGAATAATTGTTCCAGTAATTAACTTTTTCCATATGGGATCGTTCGATTTGACCAACCTTGTAACCATAAAGTAACCATCAGAGTTTCGATACTATAACTTTTTAATATTGGTATATCTTAACGAAATTTGGCAAGCTTTCAGTAAACATTACAAGTCTTTAGTACACAAAACGTAAGATTTTTCCATTAAGTGTTTTTAGTAAAAATTTGTCTTTGAAAATATGGAGTCAAAATGTTGACTGCTCCAAGTGCAAAGTGATTGTCATGCTAAGATGAAAAATATTTTTCTTCATCTAAGACTTTTCATTTGCGTAACTTCTTAAACCTTCTCAATAATTATTAAATTTTTTTTTTTAGTAACACTTAACATTTTATCTGTTATTTTCTCTACTCTTACTCTGTACGAACTCCGTTAATATGACCGACCTTGTAATCGGCATTAAAAAATATGAAATAAATCTAAATTACCCTTTTTGTCTTTCTAAAATGGCTGCAGATTGTAAAAGTCTACATCTGTTCGTACTTAATTTTATTGAGTTTGAACCGTGTCTAAATAAAAATGCTGCCAAACAAGTTGTAAATCATTCGGCTAACGCGTAGCTCATGTTACCATATTGAATAAAGTGTTCAGGAACGTTCCCTTTGAAGAAATGTTTTTCACTATCTTACTTAATCTAACCTAACAAGTTTCTGAATTCTACATTTTAATTACTTTTATAACAATAAATAATAAAATATGCACGAAAAACATGAAATATAGTACCAACATTAGACTTGTTTTTTGTAGTCATGTGCCAATGAAACTTAAGCCTACTTTTATTTTATAATGCTGGTACCAGTACACTTAATTTTTATTTACTTAAGTAATGCTCCTAAGAACATAGCATAAAAACATATATAAAACAAACAATGTCCTAAAACTATTATATTTAACTAACTTTGTAAGTAAGACAAGAGAGAGACTTAAATCAATTCCCTGAACATCACAAGATGAACCTTCAAACTGAAAACAAAATTGACAATATTCTGTACTAAAAATAATGTAACATTATATGTCATTCAATACTTTCTATTGGTTATAAATAATATAGTACAAAACATCATAGAGAATTATTGGCAATTTGTGAAAGAGAGAACGTGAAAGATGGGCGTGGCATGTGGGTCTGATTTTATAGTAATATAGTAATAACAATATTATAATGAGTGATTTATGTTAAATTTCATACTTCAGGAAGAGGTGGTAAATAAATTAGAGGGGGGGGGGAGGTAGACCCAGAGAACAAATGTCACGATTCTCTTATTAATAAGGATTGTACTTTCTTATAAAATTAAGAACTTAAAACGTGTATTAAAATTTAGATTATTATCTAATTGTTAATAAAGTAGTTTAATTTGGAATGTAACTCTGTAAAAGGTCATGATATGCACACTCTGACCTACCCCTTGCGAGAAGGTTAAGGAACAGATTTGGCTCCTGGATAAAGTTTTAACCTTTAATCACCCAAAAGCAGAAACACACTTACTTAATAAAAAACTTATGTTTATATATTTATATAACATAACCTCAACAGAGAAGTATGATAGTTTCTATCTGTTTACTGGGATGTACATTAATTTTAGTAGTGATATTTTGAATCACTTTTTGGTCATGTTATTATTTCATTATCTAACATGTCTTTTGGTCATGTTATTATTTCATTATCTAACATGTCTTTTGGTCATTTTATTATTTCATTGTCTAACATGTCTTTTGGTCATTTTATTATTTCATTGTCTAACATGTCTTTTGGTCATTTTATTATTTCATTATCTAACATGTATTTTGGTCATGTTATTATTTCATTGTCTAACATGTCTTTTGGTCACATTTTTTATTTCATTGTCTAACATGTATTTTGGTCATGTTATTATTTCATTGTCTAACATGTCTTTTGGTCATGTTATTATTTCATTGTCTAACATGTCTTTTGGTCATGTTATTATTTCATTGTCTAACATGTCTTTTGGTCATGTTATTATTTCATTGTCTAACATGTATTTTGGTCATGTTATTATTTCATTGTCTAACATGTCTTTTGGTCATGTTATTATTTCATTGTCTAACATGTCTTTTGGTCATGTTTTTTATTTCATTGTCTAACATGTTTTTATTTCATTGTTTAACATGTCTTTTGGTCATGTTATTATTTCATTATCTAACATATCTTCATGTTTGAGCTGGACTTGTGTTTATTCATATAAAAAAAACTAATGATTTTGCAAAATTATTTCTCAGTTGAAAGCTTTATATTCATAAAAATATTTATCAAATTCTTCACACTAGCCTTAAAACTTGGAAAGTTTTCAATCTTTTATTACTCATACTCTTTACAGAGTGACAAATGTTTGTCACTTGACCACAACCAATAACATTTGGAGTTGATGCTTTGTTTCACACACTTTATGTGGATTGTATTAATCACTAATAACATTTTGGACAAGAATACTAAAATTTTTACACGTTGCCAACATTAAACTTGGACAAGAGCACTTACATTTCCACATGTTGCCGACATAAAACTTGGACAAGAGCACTTACATGTTTACACATTGCCAACATTAAACTTGGACAAGAACACTTACATTTTCACACATTGCCAATGTTAAACTTGGACAAGAACACTTACATTTTCACACATTGCCAACATTAAATTTTGATAAGAACACTTACATTTTCCATTGTGCTGAGAGAGAACCTTGTAAAAATCTAGTGAGCAATCCCCCAGAAGGCTATCCTTGATCAAAGAGTTGTGATTTAACACTCGAATATGCAATTTTGAATATGGATTCACAAGCCTGTAGAAAAATAAACAAGAAGTACATGAACAGGATTCTCTTTGTAGAAAGGAGAAACAGTAAATACGAGGTTAGTTTTTCACCAAAATATAGAAGTGTGTGAAGAACTTATAATAGTGAAAAATTAATACAAAACTGATTACAATTTAAAGTTATAGATTTATCCTATGAATGTTGATTAACGAATAAAATATAATTTAGTTTAATGCATTTAATGTAACAATCTTAGCCACTCCACTTGCCCCTTAGGTACAAATACGCTACAGAACTTATTTGTATCCTTTATAAACGTACTGTCATATGGCCACGTACATAAAAAGTGGTTTCAGACAAAGATTTTAAAAGCAACAGATTATTCCCCCCCCCCTCATTCATGGTCCCTTAAATAAGAGCAAACATTACAACTTAATCTGCTTCTGTTACTTTACACAATACTGAG